CTTGGTATGGAATTTCAGACAATCAATCCAACATACTCTTTCAAAAATTCTTTTCATCAGGTCATACCTTAATACTTACCTAAGATAAGTAAGAGATATGGCTTGTCGAGGCTATTGTTTAGGGAGGGGGATGGCAGTGCACAGTGAGGTCATGAAGTTTCTTAGAAATAAACAGTTCGACATATCAGAGTATGTGGTAAGGAAAACCTGTCCTGGAAATCTAATCTGTGGTCAATAAAAAGATACTGGATCACAGAAATTTTGAATGTTTATTTTATGGAAGACTTTTATCTTTTTTTTTTTTTTTGGCTGAAGTAGGGGCATCTTGGAGATAATACAGTGGTGAGAGGTTTTTTTAAGAAGTTTGCTTGCCGCCTATTATCTGTATTTCTTTCAGTGAGCTGTCTCTTATGGATACTTCTCATGGTCTAACTGGCTATCTCAAGTGTGCCACAGAAAAAGGAAATAAGGCAACTGGACTTTTACAGCTTCACCAGAGCCCCTTCTCTGACTCTGAAATATTTCTAGCAGGAAAAGGAACGGAGCCAAGGAACACGGTCAAGGCTAGATGTCCCCAGAAAGGTAGGCCCAACTGGCAGTAAATGTCCATTTGGCCTTCTGATAACCACCATGAGCAAGGCATGGGGCTTTTGTGGTATTTTAAAGGCAAGAGCTCTAATATACTGCAGAGATTTAGGCTTCATCCATCCATCTACTGTTTGGCACTTTTGTTATTTCCTCCCAAGGGATGCTTGCTTTTCTCTGTAGGCTACATGGGAAGTTAAAGAGGCTGGAAAAGCAATTTTCTCTTCCTCTGCTTCTTAACCATTTCCCCTACTCCTGAGACACAAAGTCCCTGCTTTGTCCTTGGCTGGGGGGGATGGGGTGGTGCTGGTTGGCCTCTAAGGTGGCCCTCCCCCACTCCAGTAAACTGAGGGAAAGTTCATTTTAACAAGAAGCTATTTAAACAGTGAGAGAGGCTTTTAAAAATGAACTACGGTTTACTTTGATAAAAAAATTCTGGTTGAAAAAAAAATTCAGGTTGAGTTTATGGACTCTATCAAATATTTTCACCTTCAGCACTGGTGGTGTAGTGGTGAGCATAGTTGCCTTTCAAACAGTTTCACCTTCATGTTAATCAAGATTTCCTTTAGTAGGGTGAATTTATCTGTTGAAAGTGACAACACAGAAATGAGGTAATATTTCAGTAGTTCTTTCTTGATCTATACCAAATACAATTCTAATCAATTAAGTTTGCTTTCTTTGATGGTATTACTATGTTGTTATCATGGTAAAAATACTGTTTTACAAAAAGATTTTGAAATAAAACAGCAATTTTAAAAATCTCATTTTAGTTTTTGTATTTTTTCTTGTGAAATGCTTACTTAGTGTATTTAAGCCTCTTTTAGGTAGAAGACCACTCAGTTCTTCTGACTCATGCTTCCTCCCAACTCTCTTCTACACTGGACTCTCCAATGGGTGTTATTTTCCCTCCTATGACACAACTTTTCTTTATGCATAATCACTCTTGACTTGAAGGAGAATAAAGCTGACCAAGCAGAACAGCCTATTTACCAACTAGGCTATTTATACACAGGTTATTCCTATGTCCCTTAAGATTATACAGTTAGTTTCAGAGCAGCAATTCATTGCAATATGTTATGAGGAAAGATACTGAGGCAGCAGAATATAATCTATTATCTACTAAAAATAAGCAGTAAGAATTAACCTTTTGTTATTACAAAGTTATAGTAAGTATTTTAATAGAATTTTTAAAATCATATTTTTTAGTATGAAAACACATTCTGCATGTGTTCCTAATTAAAACACAAGAAAATTTTTAGTTATAGTGATGAAGGCAGTTTAGTTTAATTAAAACAACTAAAATAAATATATATAGTGCACTGTCAAAACCTGGATAATGCCAATGATGGTGAGAGGGCAGGCAAACAAGCGCTCTTGCACACTGCTATTCATGTCATGTTCCTGAGAGCAATTTGTGTCAAAATGCCTTGGACTCTTGCTTCTGACTCTTTGAGCCAATCCAGTGAGTTAAGCACTATTATTCTATTTTATAGATGAAGAAACTGAAATTCAGAGACTAAGTAACTTCCCTAGGTCATATGAAAAGTTAGCAGTGGAGCTGTGGTTCAAACTCAGTTACATAATTCAAAGCTTATGCCTAACCACACCCCACTAACCTCATTCAATTCATGGTGTTTGTTTTCAGAAAGTATTCCTATAATAAAATAATATACAGCAGTTTAACATGTTGTACAGGAGTATATAATGACATGAATATATGTCTGCAAAACTATAAAGATCAAAAGTTTAAGAACAGTGTGATCTTAATTTTTTTAAAAATGTAAGTGTATAATGAAAAATAGGTATGTATGACAAATGTATATAGCTGCACATCTTAAGAGACTAATGTGATCATAAGTAATTTTCATTTTATCTTTCTTAAATTTTCTACCTTTGTATTAAAAGCTATCTTTTTAAAGATATTCAATCTCATTTCTCAAACTGTGAATCTGCAATTTAAAGACACAACTTGCTTTTTATTTAAAAAGGTAAATAAAAATGAAAGATACATTAATTTTAAAATAGATCACCACAGTTCTCTAGGAGTCTGTCAATTTCTTATTATTTCAAGTATAAATGTTCTTATTTATTAAGGTTGCTTATGCTGGAATCATCTAGCTAAAGGAAAGAACTACAGAGAAACTGGGCAGCAAGAACCCCTGGAGCTTCTCTTAACTGATCTTTCATCTCCAGTGTGAGCAGCATGACTCCACACTCTAATCCTCTTACCCTGCCTGAGTTTTACACTGTAACATGAAACCAGAATATGGTCCAAATCAGGGACTCCCATTAGTGAAAGTGTATAAAGAACTCATGTTTATTTACTGATAAAGATAAGGGTGGGAAAAACAAAGCTTTTGCTAACTTTCCCATGTTGATCTTCATTAGTAAGGCTATTCAGCATGTTTGTTCAGTTGACAGCTTCTTTCCATATGACTTACAAGGTGTTATTTTAACAGGAATGAAACTCACTGAGCAATGTGACTGACTGAGGAAGAGCCGGTTTAAGCAGATAGTAGCTTCCAGGTCTATCCTAGCAGAGGGAATATTCTTGTTGGATTTGTTGAAAAGCTCTGAGAGGAAGGAAGAGACATTAGTAAGAATTTCCCTCAGATAACACATTTTAGTTTAAAGAAATCCTGCTCAGTTATGTTTCCCAAATATCATATATGAGTAATTTAGAACGGAAGTTGGAAATTTTGCTTTTTTCAAGAAATTTTCAACTTTTTTCTGCCAAACATCACAATGTTATAATATAAACATATATATATATAATGTCAAGGCAATTTTCTTCCTACTTTCTGAGTAAAGACTGGTTAAGTTCTAGCTCAATGATTATGGCAGAGCTGTCTAACTATCATATGTCCTTTCTACAAGTTAAAAGTATTAACTGTATATGTTTTTAATTTGAATTTTTATTGCATGTCTAACTATTATATGGACATCACAAATAATTTTGAGAAAGTACCAGGAAGTTCATTTCAATGAAGATGAAAAGACCCACAATCCCACTACTCAGAAAAAAACTGTAATATTAATAGTATATATTCTTCTTGAACTTGTTGCACATTAGCATATTAAGGGTTCTGATCAGAAAGTAAGAGAATAATTTACCTTTGTTTCAAATAAAGCTTCCCAAATTCCTTTGACTATGAATCCTTTGATGGTATAATACCTATTAGAAACCTGAAGAACTCAGGATCTAAGGAACATATTTTATGATTGCCACCTTAATGAATGTATCAATGTGCACAATCTTCAGCCACACTAGTAATCCAGAGTTAATCAAATTCAGCAACATTCACTCTTCTACCTAAACTCACACTGAACTAAAATTGAATAATTTAATGATAAATATTTACTTCAGGTAAGAAACATGCATGGGAACTTTTATCATATGTGAATTGTAACTCAATAAAGCCTTTTTAAAAAAGAAACTAATAAGCTTGTGTTTCATGAAAACTGAGAAGTAGAATTACTCGAGGAATGCAAGATCAGAGCAAAGGAAGGATAGTTTTAAGGAATACTTTATTCTGGCAAAAGTGACTCACTCTTCCCAAAAGGCAGGCTACATCTTCAGTTCCATAATGTCTCCCCAGATTGATATGATACATTTCTACCTCTTCCACCCTATCTTTCAAATGTGCTGGCAATGCTTATAAATTAATCTGCTTAAGTCCTCCTGTAGTACTAAAGAGTGAATGCATATTCCGGAATAGAAATGAATAGCAGCAGCCATAGTCCGAAAGAGTCCACTGTAAATACAACATTTATTTTAAATTTCAAGCTTTCCCTAGCAAATACATGTAAGAAAGAATTTTTTAAATGCAAAGAGTAAAAATATTAATTCCCAATAAAGAACAGTCTTAATTTCACAAAGGAATAACTGACATATAAAAAATGTTATGTATTTACCTGTGATTTCATATGCCTTAAAACACATCAAATATATCTTGCTTGAGAAGTAAAGCTCAAAACTAAATACCTCCCTTCTATTCTTATTATCGATTTCTAGAAGCAAAAGTTGGTAAGGTTGATAAATGCTAAATCAGAATAATACTCCAAGCATGCCTCCTAGGCTTGACATATGAAAAGATGATAGCATTTGCTGCCACAGACAGATTATACCAACTAAATGAATAACAATAGCTACTTTTAGTTTGTTTTATCTCCTGGTTCTCTGAGACATTTTTATCACCTACACAAAACAAATCTAAATATAAAAGGAGATGATACTTTTTTAATACATAAGCTATTTATTAAACTATTATACCATTTAAAGCATCATTCTTCAAAGAGGCCATGAAATTACAACTTTCAAAATTTTTAGGTAAAACTCGTCAAGGGTAAGCAATTTTTTTAATGGCATGTACAATTTAGCAGCAAGAGAACATTTCTATAGACTTGCAGTTGGTTCAGACTCGGTTTCTGCTCATGCTATGCAGAGCATCCATGATGCTTTTATTATACTCTGCAATCTGCTTGGACACATTCTTCATAATCGACTGGTAATCACTCTCTTGACTCTTGGTTGCTATGACTAAGTACATGAGTTAAGAGGAACAATATCAATACAAATATTAATCTAATTCTGTCATGTGGAAAAGACCCAAATTATACTAGTATTTTTCTTACTGAAAACTGAAGATGCACAAAAAAGCACAATTAGAATAGTTTCAAACAGTATTTTAACAGATTAAGCATCAAACCTAAAAGGTCTAACCCTAAAAGGCCAGGCCAAACTTGTTTCAAAAAAGGTCACCTATGGTATACAAACATTTTTAGAGTTAATATGTTATTCATCTCAATCTGGTCATAGAACAATTCACTGTTCAGAAGAACCACATTCTTTAGAGTACCACACAGAATTTCAGCCAAGTTTCTAGACGTCACTCTGCTTCAAAATCACCTACTTTGTGTCAGAGAAAACTAGAGTTCTGGACTTTAACCAACTGTGAATACAAATCTGCTTTTAAAATAAACTGCACGACCACTGGGAATAGAACCTTTAGCATCTCATCTGGAGGAAAGCTGGGTCCACGCTGCCCTGAGAGGATGTTCAGTAGCATCCTAGAGAACCTATGCAACCAATGAGTTAGAATCTAATTCTCTAATCAGAGTTGCTCTTGAATAGGTCAAAGAAGGGACTAGGAGACAACCTTTGGGGAAACGCTTCTTACACTCCACGACACCTGTTGTCAGTTGCTGCTTCCATCTATGATTACACAAAAAGATGAGCAAAAAGACTGAATGTAAGTGCTATCTTGATAGAAATAAGATGGGACATAAGTACTATCTTGGTAGATGAGATTGAAGGTCAAATTTCTCATGACATTTCTTGGTTATCTCTCCCTTTGCTCCCCAGATATCTAAGGTACAGCATTATAAATAACAACAAATGACCATACATACACACATATACATATATATGGTTATATATAATTCTCCCAACAAGTCTATGAGAAGGAAATATTAGCTGTATTTGAGATGATAACATTGCAGTTTAAACAGTTAAGTAAACTGTCCAAAGTCCATAACCTATGCATAGTAGTGTCAATATTTAAAATTAGATCTTCTGACTCTAAAATCTGAGTACTTAGTCACTATGCCACAATGTGGCTTTGTATGGTCTGCCTTCTATTAGTTACTTTAGTATACACACACACACACACACACACACATGCACACGCACACTCGCACACACACAATTGTAGAATGGAAACTGTCTTATTCATTTCCCACATAGTTTAGCCAGTATTTTGTACATATTAGGTATTTGATGTTGAACTGAATATTATTTCAGTCTTTAAAGAAATTCCTAGGGAAAAAAAAACCCTCAGTCAAGTCCATTTGCAGTTTTTTAAAGGATACATTCTTTCATCACGAAATTATTTTGCTCATGGTGTTGCCACTTCCTCTCCAAATTTGTGAGCTAAAAACACAAAAGAAAAATGTTCACCAGTGCCCATATTCAAAACAATTATACACTCCTTTGAGATATAAGAAAAAACCCTCAATTTTAAATCTTTTCAACTCCCGCATTTTACAGAGATAAAGCCATGACAGACAAGAAATTTAGAAAAAGTTAAACAATAGTAAATATAGTACTAAATAGAACGTTGAATTCAACAAGTTTACTCTGTTTACTTTAATTGGAACATATTTATTATACCAATGAACATACCAACTGAAAGACAATTTATATTTCCCTTTCCTAAAAGAACTTTAAGAATGGGACATGATAAGAATCTCTCCTTGAAATCTGAAGGTCTAATGCCATGAAAGTACTACATATTCTAACACTGTCAAAGGTTCAGCTATATAGGAGAAACTTCCTTATTTCCAGGGCTAAATTTCCTGTCTAATTTCACAAGCTGTGATAAGAGCAGAGCTGCAGTGTAAAGATTATAAGAGGGCTGGTAAAAAGCTGGCATTCTTACAATAATTTCTGCATCAACAGGAAGCTAATGTGGATATTATATTGATGGTTGCTTCCTCCAAAGACAATTTTACTGTTATAGAATTAAATTGTTTTTCTGATTTAATTAACCTTGTAACTCTGGGTTATGGTCTTTTTAAGATGCACATAGTTTTTTTCCTAAGCAAAGGAAAATCTGAAAAATGAAGCATTAAAATAATGTTCTGCCTGGATATTTCCAAGAAGTAATAATCATTTAAAAAATCTGATAACTGAAACAGCATTCATATTTCTTCTTAAACTCAAGTTAAAATTATTTTCAGGGCATAAGTTCAGTATCAGTGTAGCATCTATCCCATTGTTTCCTCCAAGGAGATGAATCTAGATATTAGGATGAGTCATAACTAATTATATGAACTGTATGTGCTGTGAGTTAATGCTACGAAATCAGATCTAGCTTCCCCTGATAGAACCTTGAAATTCAGATGGACTTAAGGAAGTAGTCAGCACTTTTGGACAATAAATCTCAAATAACCTTTTGCAAAGTCAAGTACCAAATTTTCCCTTTTGTTTCATATAAAGGGGTGGCCTTCTTATTATGCAGCAAACCTCTTAAGTGCTACATGAATAATGCTATAAAAGCAACTCTATGTCATATGGTCAAATTCCTTCTATACCATACATTTATTTATTTCAGTGATGTATTTAAACCTTGCCTTTAAACCCCCAAGGATGTCAAGAAGCACAAATCTCTTTTCTTCCTACAACTTATTTTAAAAGTCTATCATGAGTTCTTTATATTATGCTTTGCATAACCCTGAAACATGTGACTCGTAAATATTTTCTCCCAAACTGTAAACTGCTTTTTCATTTTGTTGATTGTTTCATTTGCTGTGCAGAAACTTTTTAGTCTGATGTGGACCATTTATTTATTTTTGCCTTGGTTGCTTGGGCTTTTTGGTGTTAACAATAAAAACTTGTTGCCAAGACTAACGTCAAGGAGCTTTTTCCCTATGTTTTCTCCTAGGAGTTTTGTTCCAATATAAATATGTTTAAATGATATCAAATAAATAACCACTCAAAAAAGGTCTGTTATGCCATGTTATTTATAGATCTCAAAGCCAGTTTTTAAGAAAATAACTTTAAAAAATAGGGAGACCAGGATTTGATTCAAACAACTGGGATTCATGAAAGGCAACCCATAATACAGAGAAGCATTATAAATTGTGGTTTATGTTACAAATTCCTGTAGATGGGGTTAAGAGTAAGATTAGCACTTAATGTGGGAATAAACAAGGTAGCCACGGACTGGCTCTAGGAAACTCTGTTTATCAAATGTTTTTCTCTTTAAATCATCTATTCAGTGAAAGAAGAGGGCCGAAATCCATATGAAGTATCAATGCTCTTTCCTATGAACCATAAGACAATGGCCTCATTAACTTTTTCTTATGTTTTCTTCTCCAGTATCCATTCCAACTCTAAACAGACAAGGATAAATTTGTTATTTACAAGTCTATAAATAGGCTTGTATATTATAAAGCAGAGACAGAGTAATTGACTAATAAATTTGAAACATGTAAATTAGTGATTTCTAAGTTTGTGGCAAACTCTGATCAGAGTCCATCCCTTTTATGAAGAATATAAGGTTTATCTTTTTTTAAAAGGTACATACATACAATGAAACAGCTGACATCCTAAAAATATCAAAAAAAAAGAGCTTGAAAACATTTAAGTAAGAAAAGAAATGCTTAAAGACTATATGCATAGAATGATTTCATTATTTCTAAGAACAATATAATTAAGGATGTATAACTGCAAAGGAAAAAAGTTTACAAGGATATTATACCAAAATGTTAATGATGGCTGTCTATCATGATCATGTTACCATGTGAAGAAAAAATTTAATGCATTTAGCATTAATAAATCATAGCTGCAAATTGTTAACATAGACTAATTTGATGTGAGAATAACCAACCTTTATCAGACCATAATAACTGATTTTGTATATGACACGCATGCTTCATTTAATCCACCAAAAAATACTTATTGAACACTTATCATGTGCCAACCACTAACACGGTGCTGGGGAGAAAGTGAGGGACAGAAACTAGGCTTCTGCCCTTCAATCTAGAAGACCTCTCAGACCTTGTTGAGGTAATTATCAGCAGGATGAGTGATATGGAAAAAGGGTTTGCCTTTGCAACCTGAGTAAATCATCAGAAATGTAAATAAAGAAATTCAAGAATAGGACTGCTCTTCATAGCATTATTTGAACAGTTTTAAAATAAGAAATAACCAAAATGTCTTAACAATTTGGAACTGACTCAGTAAATTATGCTATAAAATTATGCTATATCCAAAGAGTCAAATATGATATAGAATCATATTTTTAAAAATTTACTGACAAGAGAAAATATAGTTAATAATGAAAAACAAGTTTCCAAATAATAGGTACAATATAGTGCCATTTCTATAAATATACAGAAATAACGTATACTTATGTGTATGTATAAAGTGAATGTATTCATACCACATACATACAGACTAGAAATATCTATCCACATATGCATAAAATCATCTCTTCTGTCATAGGTCTGGCCTTGGTCTTTGCTTGCCTTGTCATCATTCGTCAGCGACAACTGGACAGAAAGGCTTTGGAAAAGGTCCGGAAGCAAATTGAGTCCATATAGCTACTTTCTCTCCTTTCACCTGGGTCTTAGAAACCCTGCCTCAAACAGAAGGTAGAATAAACTGACTTGCACCCCTGGTTCTCTGGAACCTTGCGGTAGCACCCCCTTTCCTCCATCTAAATAATTAATGAGCAGAATAAAAAGAGTAAAATAAAAAAAAAAAAAAATCATCTCTTCTGGGTGGTGGGATACTAGTCATTATGGCTCATTTTCATTTTCTGTGGCACTGATGTATTAGCAATGTTTCTGCATTTAAAACACTTTACTTTTGATATTTTTAAAAGCTATTATCATAATGGCTGTGTCCAGAATAGTGCCAAGCCTAGAGCTGGCCTTCAATATAGGTTTATAGAAGGCAGGAAAGCAGGAGTAAACTCATTCTGAGTGGAGACTGTACAGAATCTAGCTATCTTCAAAGCCAAAAAATCTGGTAGGTAAACAAAGCCGATTAAAAAAAAGGAATGGGTTGCTTTGAGGGTGAAAATACAGATTAAGAGGACATGCCAGATAATCTAAAACTAGAAACGAATTTCAGTCCTTTCTCCTTTTTTACCTGAGAATGTGTCTCGTTTTCTTGCAGCTGTGTTTTTAGTGTCTCATATTCTGTGTTTAGTTTCTCCATTACTTTTTGAAAGGCATTTCTGTGAGTTGATAATACTGTTCTCTCCTGATGTAACTTCTAGATAGATCCAAATGGAAGTAAATAAAAGGCTTTAGCAGGTATCTAGTAAATCAATAAAAATAGCATTTGACTTAAATAATATCAATAATATTCTAATAAAATCCTACCAAGGTTGGAAAACCTGTTGGTAAAAATATTCTTCTAACTATAATAAGCTAAATTGTGTTCATGTTGTTTAGTCCCTAAGTTGTGTTCAACTCTCGCAACCCCATAAACTGTAGCCCACAAGGTGTCTCTGTCCATGGGATTTCCAGGCAAGAATACTGGAGTGGGTTGCCATTTCCTTCTTCAGGGGATCTTCCTGACCCAGGGATCAAACCTGAGTCTGGTGGGTCCTGACCGGTGGATTCTTTACTGCTGAGTCACTGAGGAACTTCATAATAAGCCAAATTAATATTAACAATATAAATAATAGCTTATCAGGGCTGCCTTACGTGTTTGTACTCCACCAGATTTACTTTAAATTAATGTAAATGGCAATGAAAAGTCACTGAGAAGTCTTAAGTAGAGAAATATCCTAATCAAATTTGCCTTTAACAAAGTTTATATTTGTTGAAGGGCTTCCCTGGTAGTGAAGTGGAAAAGAACCTGCCTGCCAATGCAGGAGATAAAAGAGATGCAACTTTGATCTCTGGGTTGGGAAGATCCCCTGGAATAGGAAATGGCAACCTGCTACAGTATCTTACCTAGAAAATTGCATAGACAGAGGAGCCTGATGGTCTATAATCCATGGGGTCTCAAAGAGTCAGTAATGACTGAGGACACAATTATTATATTTGTTGAAGCACTCTATCCCTTGCTTTTCAATTTTTGTCTTTTGTTTTGAAATTTAAATCACTCTAAATTCCTACTTTGTATGTTAAACATTTTTATTTTTTCCTTATAAATCAAGTAATCAACTGAAAATAAACTTACAAAGTTTTAAAAACACATATATTATTAAATTTAATCAAGAAAAACAATTTGAATTACAATTTCATAGCTTTATTACCATTTACCTTTTTCTTTTCTTCACCTGATGATTTTAAAGCTCCCAAATCATTATATGTGTCCAGATCAGTTATCAGTTGCTTAATTTTGTTTTTTAGAGATTGTTGTTCCTCAATCATTTTACTTTCCAGAAGCTCCATTTTTTGTAGATCCAACTGTAGCCTCTGACTATCTGAAATGCAGGAAAATTCAAATGCCATACTTAGTCGAAACTTTAGTTCTTTCCCGGAAGGAAATGAAATTACTAAAAATCATGGTTTACAAGAGTGTCTGCACCAGAAACATGGTCATTGTAACCATTAAGACAATATAAAATTTTAAAAAATTACTCACCCCCTAGGTAACCAACATAACCTGATATGTATTAATCACATTTGTCTCCATACTCATATAAACATACAAGAACACATATAGTTCTTTTTCTTACTTCATAATTAACATATAAGATCAATATTCATTATTTTTAGTATGTGCATGACATATATACACAGTTATGTGGGGGGAAAAAAGCAAGTTATGAAACATTATGAGCAAAATTTTACAATTACATATACAGTCAGCTCTCATTATTTGTGCTAGTTATATTCTGTAAAATCACTGTACACAGAGTTAGCAAGCATTTAACTCCTACGGAAAATACAGAGTTAGTTTCTATGAGCCTCTGACAATATTTTTATCAAGAAACTAACATAACTTTGTTTTATGTGTATTTCTCTTAAAATATACTTTATTTAATATATATTATTAATTTGTTAAGACTGAACTAAAGGTCAACCACGTAGAGGCATACCTCTACAAAGCTTGTTCTAACAGACATATTTTCACTGTAAGGCATATCACAGCCTTCCGCTTAGAAACACTTGTCAACACTTCAGCACTATACTTGGGGGCCATTTTAAAAAGCAAAAGCATGAACAAAAATACATAAAAATGTGATTTTAAAAAGTGACATTAAATAATGTACCATGAAAAGAATGCTTTTAAGTATGTGAACTAAAGCAAGAGGCATGGTGTTGCCTTATTCAACCTCCACTGAGAACTTGAGCATTCAAATTTTTCACCTCTGCATGTGTTCACAAATGACCATGAAAGTACTACAAATATGAATTTGGGGTTAAAAATTAATTTTAGTGAGAAAGCAAATTTACAAATACAGAATCCATGAATAATGATGACTGCACGTGTGTGTGTGTGTGTGTGTGTGTGTTTCTTTCTTTCAAAAGCATTGAGCATCTACTATGTGCCAGGAGCTGATGGAAATCAAGAGAGACACTGTTTTCATTCAAGAAGCTATATTCTAGGGGTTAAATTAGAAAATTAAAGAAGCATTTACAATAAACTGGATAACTACTATGAAAAGATTATAGGATGCTTTTTACTATAAAAAGATAAAGGATATTGGTCAAAAGAATTCTCTACAGCCATGCCTTTTAACTGTTGCCTTAAGCATTAGGAATCAGCCACACAAAGGAAAAAGTGAGTTTCCAGAGAAAATAATCATTATGTGCAAAAATGTCTAGAGGTAAGAAAGCATAGTATTTCTGGGCAAATAATGGACGTTTGGTATGCCTAGAACCCACAGTTTGAAATGGTTGGTGGTAGGAGATAAAATGGAAAAGTTGAAGGATCAGTTCACGAAGGACTTAAGTCAACATAGGGAACTGGGACTTTATGCTAAGGGCTATGGCAAGTCATCAATGAGTTTCAAATGAGAGAGTGACATGGTTAAATTTTAGAAAGTTCATTCTGGTTGCCACATGGGCAGGGAATTGAAACAGCATAACTATGTGCAAGAAGACCGGTTGATTCAGTGATCTAGGCAAGAAATCTTACACTGCTGAGAATTTGTTTTTTCATTAAACAATATTTATTAAATGCTTTCTATGTGCCAGGCAAATAGAAAGGCATGGAGGATATAGCAATGAACAAAGAACTTAATAGTTCAGTGGAAGAAGGCTATAACATATATTTGATAAAATATACAATTAGTGAAAGTCAACTCAGTTGTGTCTGACTCTTTGCGCCCCCATAGACTATTATACAGTCCTGGAATTCTCCAGGCCAGAATCCTGGAGTGGGTAGCCTTTCCCTTCTCCAGAGGATCTTCCCAACCCAGGGATCGAACCCAGGTCTCCTGAAGTGCAGGTGGCTTCTTTACCAGCTGAACCACAGAGGAAGCCCAAGAATACTGGAGTGGATAGCCTATCCCTTCTCCAGGGGAGCATCCTGACCCAGGAATCGAACTGGGGTCTCCTGCCAGATAAAAATAATTGAAGAAACAAAGCAGAAGAGATCTGGAGGGACTAAGAAACATGAGGGATTTGGGATTAACAAACAGGCAATCGACCAGATACAGTGGTTGAGTGAGAGAAGTCAGTGCAGAATCCGATTTCCAACTTGAATAAATGAGTATACGGGAGGGTAGGCAGAAAGAGACACAAATTTTTGTCTGTAGGAGGGAGAGATGATACACTGAAGGTGATTTAGGATTTGTTGAGTTTGAGAAACCTCAAAAACATCCAAATAAAGATAAGTAAATATGCCCATATAGAGAAATACGGGTTGAAAGCCCAGAGAAAAATGTGAGATCAGAAGACAGTTTCTAAAACCATCAGCATAGACATGGCACCTGAAGCTATGGGAGTGGTTGAAATCATCAAGAAAAGGATTCATGACTGCACTTACAAAAATACCAAATTTTAAAAGACTAAACATGATGGATCCATATAGAATAAGAAGTGACCAAAGAAATAAAAGAAAAATCACAAGTCATGGGGAAAAAAACATCTCAAGAATAAAGGAGTGGTTTGTAGTGCATAATATTAGAGATTTTTTTTTTTTTTGAAGATAGCAAAATATGTGTTGCATTTACTGACCAGGAGAACCTGGGTATATATCTCCTGAGAATAGATTTTTATAGAAAGAAATGGAACCAAGAATGAGATGATTTTAATAAATCTGGCTGTGAAACCTTTGAAAGAGAGGAATAGCTGGGCAGAGAACACTTGGGAAATGCTTTTTTTCCCCCAAGATGTGATAAAATACAGAAAAAAGACTAAAAGGATACCAAAATTTTAATAGTAATAAACTTTTGATAGTAGGATTATATTTTTAATTTTTATTTATGCTTGCTTATTTCTCCTAAATCCTCTATAATGACTATGAATTACATTTATAACCAGAAAACAGTATTTTAAAAACTTCCATCTCATAGGATTAAATATTAATAATACCGACCTTCTCTATTTCAGAGACTTAACTTTGCGATGTTGGCTTTAAAAGTCTCTTTTTTAAAGGGAAAAGAAAGGTATAAAAGGAAACCAATATTACTGAGAACCTGGAACATGCCTGGCTTTATATATTATCTGATTTATTTTTCATAACAGCCCTGAGATGAGGTGGAAGGGGTAAATGTTATTATATAAGGAAACTACTGAAGGCAAAAGGAGAAAGGGGCGGTAGAGGATGAGATGGTTAGATAGCATCACCATCAATGGACATGAATTTGAGCAAATTCCTGGAGATATTGGAGGACAGGGGAGCCTGGCATGCTACAGTCCATTGGGATGCAAAGAGTCAGACATGAGTTAGCTACTGAATAACAACAAAAAGCTTAGATAGGTAACTGCCCATGGTCAACAACCAGTCAAGCTTTGGTGCTGAGTGATACTATCATCATCTTTATGAAATATTCATTTTTAAGATAAAAGGTATCACTTTATGACCCAAAACGCCTGTATGAGCTACAGTGAGCTATGGAAAGAGGAACAGTAATACCTGATTAATTTGCTATTTCAGGCTTCTTTCCCCAGGCATCATCCATTGTTCTGGAAATCTTATTCCAGCTAACTCAAAAACAGATACTAAAATGGAACTGAAATATATGTCCTGTATATCAAGATGAAGAAATCTGAATTCAAACCTGCCTTAGCCAGTTTCCTCGCTCCTGTACTGCCAGAGACTGGCATGGGAATAATCTGATACATACTGTAGTTACTTATTTGCAGAGGCATACAGTGATACAGTTTCATTTAAGAGTATTTTATCTTTCAGTTCAGTTCAGTTCAGTCGCTCAGTCATGTCCGACTCTTTGCAACCCCATGAATTGCAGCACACCAGGCCTCCCTGTCCATCACCAACTCCCAGAGTTTACTCAAACCCATGTCCATTGAGTCAGTGATGCCATCCAGCCATCTCATCCTCTGTTGACCCCTTCTCCTCCTGCCCCCAATCCCTCCCAGCAATAGGGTCTTTTCCAATGAGTCAACTCTTCGCATGAGGTGGCCAAAGTATTAAGAGTTTCAGCTTCAGCATCAGTCCTTCCAGTGAACACCCAGGACTGATCTCCTTTAGGATGGACTGATTGGATCTCCTTGCAGTCCAAGGGACTCTCAAGAGTCTTCTCCAACACCACAGTTCCAAAGCATCAATTTTTCGGTGCTCAGCTTTCTTCACAGTCCAACTCTCACATCCATACATGACTACTGGAAAAACCACAGCCTTGACCAGACAGATCTTTGCTGGCAAAGTAATGTCTGCTTTTTAATATGCTATCTAGGTTGGTCATCACTTTCCTTCCAAGGAGCAAGCATCTTTTAATTTCATGGATGCAATCTACAGTGATTTTGGAGCCCAAGAAAATAAAGTCTGACACTTGTTTCCATTGTCTCCCATCTACTTTCCATGAAGTGATGAGACCAGATGCCATGATCTTAGTTTTCTGAATGTTAAGCTTTAAGTCAACTTTTTCACTCTCCTCTTTCACTTTCATCAAGAGGCTTTATAGTTCCTCTTCACTTTCTGCCGTAAGGGTGGTGTCATCTGCATATCTGAAGTTATTGATATTTCTCACAGCAATCTTGGTTCCAGCTTGTGCTTCATCCAGCCCGGCATTTCGCATCATGTACCCTGCATATAAGTTAAATAAGCAGGGTGACAATACACAGCCTTGGCGTACTCCTTTTCCTATTTGGAACCAGTCTGTTGTTCCATGTCCAGTTCTAACTGTTGCTTCCTGACCTGCATACAGGTTTCTCAAGAGGCAGGTCAGGTGGTCTGGAATTCCCATCTCTTTCAGAATTTTCCACAGTTTATTGTGATCCACAGTCGAAGGCTTTGGCATAGTCAATAAAGCAGAAATAGATGTTTTTCTGGAACTCTTGCTTTTTCGAT